AGATGCACTCTTCGGTCAGAAAGCCCCTGGCTATACTTTGCTCTGGACGTGACATGTTGTGAACGTATCCTTTGATGACACCATTCATCCTTTCGAACGGCATCATGCTGTGCAGGAACGTCGGCCCGAGTTGGATGATATCCTCCATGATATGGACCAGCAGATGCACCATAACGTCGAAGAATGCGGGCGGGAAGTACATCTCAAGCTCGCATAGTATCACCATGATCTCTTCCTGTAGCCTTCTGAGTTGCCTCACGCCAATCGACTTTCGAGAGATGACGTCGAAAAAGTTGCATAGGCCAAATAGCGTTTCACGGACGTGCGCATCCATGATCCCACGGATTGCAACTGGAAGTATCTGCGTCATCAGCACGTGACAGTCGTGAGACTTCATCCCGCTGAACTTCTGCTTAGCTGGGTCTAGGTATCTGCTTATCTTCCCCGCGTAACCGTAAGGAAGTTTTACTCCTAGGAGGCAGTTGAAAAACTGCTCGATCTCCTCCTGACTTAGAGTGAAGCACGCGGGAGGGTAGTCATTTCCGGTCTTCTTGGCCTTTTTGCCTTTGCGACGACTTTCTATGTCCTGCTTCGCCTCATCATCATCATCATCATCATTAGCGTGAAGCTCCTTCCTGATGCCCATTGATTTCAAGTTTGCCCTTGCTTTCGGCCCATCTTTGGTCCTCTCTGGCATGTTGAGCAGCGTACCAAGCAGACTCTCGCACACGTTCTTCGTGATATGCATGACATCAAGGCTATGAGGCACACGGTGGATCTTCCAGTACGGCAAGTCCCAGAAAACAGACCTCGTTTTCCATACCTTCAGCAGCGGCTCTGGCGTCTTTCGCTTCTTTCCCGGCTCTGGCGCCTTTTGCTTCTTTCCCGGCAGTGGGCAGTCTTTCCAATTTTTCAACAGCTCGTCTATTTCCTCGCAGCTCCACGTACATGGGCGTTTTCGGGGTTCGGTTTCACCATCGAACAGATCCTTGCGTTTCCTCCACGGGTCATCATCGCGAAGCCACCTTCGATGTCCCATGAACACAGTTTTCGAAGACCCGGGATCTCTATCTAGCTGGCGATATGTTGTGTCATCCATGCACCTTACGCATCCAGAAAAACTGTGGACTACCAGCCCCGTGAGATATCCGTAACCGAGATAGTCGTGCACCGTCGTGAGCAGTGCGGCTCTCATAGGGAAATTTTCTTTCTCTGCGGCATCCCACGTATTGGCTGGCGTTTTCCACAGCGTGTCTAGCTCCTCCTTCAGCAGCCCCAGATACAGATTGATGTCGTTCCCTGGTTGTTTCGGCCTTTCAATTAGCATACTCATGTGAATGTACTTCCTCTTCATGCACAACCAGGGGGGAAGGTTGTACATCCACACAAACACAGGCCAGGTGCTATGTGTGCTTCTCTGGCTGCCAAACGGATTGACTCCATCGGTGCTCGCGTCCAGCACGATGTTCCTTGGAGCCTTCCCAAATTCTGGGTATTCGAAGTTCAACGCTTGCCACTGGCTCGCATCCTTAGGGTGACTCAACATCTTGTCTTTTTTATTTATCTCCAGATCATTTCCGTCACGGGTCCGCAATAAGGCTCTTCAGCTTGCATCTTCGACACGGACATCTTATCTCCGTCTCGTTCTTTTGAAGCATCTCGGCCTTCGCGGAGCTCAAAAACCTATTCACGATGCCTTCGGTCATCGTGCGAACCATGGTCGCCTGCGGGGTAGAGCAAAACGGTATTTTAGAACCAAGAAAAAATTTGGCATGACCTTCCCTAAAAATAGGACCAAAAAGAATGCATAGTGCCAAAATTCTTGCCGAAACGGAAATGAATCAACATTCCGGCAAAATATTGGCAACTATCGCATTTCAAATACCGGTACATGCAAACACAAACATATATGCAACACCACAAACACATGCAACACCACAAACATACATAGATCTAGCTAGGCCACAAAAAGTGCATGTGCACGTTGTTGGAGTGAGCTAGGGAGAAAAAAATAGATCTACATCATGAAGATAGCTTTCCCCTTACTTACCTATCAAAAAAAGGTAATTTCACCACTTAATTTTGATGAATCTATGGTGGAAATAAGGTGAGGAGGAGGAGGCAGCCGAAAGCTTGGAGAAGGAGGTGGAGGGAATGAAGTGGGGAAAGTGAGTGGGTAGGTGTGGGGCTGTCCAAAATATCTTGTTGGGGTCCCAGGTTACTAATGGCGCACTAACAGCAAATGTGCCATTAGTAATCCTAGTTACTAATGGCGCACCTGCAGGTGGTGTGCCATTAGTAGTTTTGCAGAAAAGTAAAAATATATATATATATATATGTATATATATATATACTAATGGCGAACCTGATCATAGTGCGCCATTAGTAGTTTAAACTAGTAATGGCGCACTGTGAAATGGTGCACCATTAGTAGTTTTGCAAAAAAAAGAATAAAAAAATACAATAATGGCGCACGGTCTGCCTGGTGTGCTATTACTAGTTAGAACTAGTAATGCCGCACTTCGACCTGATGCGCCATTAGTATGTATGGAAAAATAAAAATTAATACTAGTGGCGCACCATGTTTCTGGTGCGCCATTAGTGTCTTCCACACTAATGGCGCATCACCAACTGGTGCGTCATTAGTATATAGTAGTGGCGCACTACTTCCACGGTACGCCATTAGTATCAATCCTATCTATAGCCCTTTTCTTAATAGTGGCTGTTTTCACTGAGTTCTACTATATATATAACCAATGGTAGGCATCCCTAAAAGAAAAAAACAATGGTAGGCGCGCACCTGGAGCTGGTGAAGCTCTGCCCGTGCCTCTACTTCTCCACTTCCCGTGCTCTGACCTGGACCTTGGTGGAGCTCTGCCCGTGCTGCTGCTCCCCTGCAGCCGGTGGAGCTCTGTCTGTGCTGTTGCTGTTCCTCTGCGCGTGCCCCGTGCTACTGCTGCCACTGCTGCTCCTCCTCTGCACTCCGAAGAAGGAAATACCATTGTAATGGTCACCCAATTTAATTCCTCTCTTCTTGTAAATAAAAAGAGCATGCAAAGATTGTAATGGTCAGTCATTTTGTTCAGATTGTATGATTTGCTCAGATTGCATGATTTGTTCAGGTTGCATGATTTTGTCACACAATTTGTCAGATTGCATGATGTGTTCAGATTGTAATAGCCAGTCATTTGGTTCCTCTCTTCTTGTAAAGATTCACATCTGACAGATGTGGTCAGGAGTACGACGCTGATATGAATGTTAGCAACTAACTGAATAAAGAGAGAATATACGAGGTTGTTTGGATAAGTGTCAATTGAATGAATTTTGTCAGTAACTAACTGCCTATAAAGAGAGAATATAAGTATAAATGGAATGATATAGGTGTCAACGGAGTAAAGAGAGAATGAATATAAGTGTCAAGGTTCACATGTGACAACTAACTGAATTTTAAATTACAGCAACACATATTTTTTTTACATCAACAGCAACAAAGATTTAATTGAATGACAGCAGCAAAAGTTCAGCTTTTTTTTTTTGAAGTTTTCAAAAGTTCAGTTTGATAAGTATGCAGAGTTTTAGAACATACTGTGAATTTACACTGACTCTTGTTGAATGCTGCAAAATTGAGAACATACCGTGAATCATGCAGCAAATTTTAGAACATACTGTGAACTTGCACTGACTCTTGACTAAATCAAGCACGGACTCTTGACTCCAAATTTGCATGTCGATTCACTGTATATGCTCCGAATTTTTGTTGTCTGGACCAAACAATTTTTGTGATTGGAGATTGTTAATGTGAATTGAGATTGTTTTGCACTGTACTGAACTGGGATTAAAGGTTCAGATTTTTTGCACTGTAGGTGTCAGTGGAATAAAGGTTCAGTGTTCATGGCCTATAGGAGTACTATATGTATATATACAGTGTCACTGGGATCAAACATTTTTTTGCCCAACAGGTTCAGATCCGTGGAGAACACAACAGGCATCACACCAAAGATCAATTACTCCACCTTGCTGTAATGGAACGAGGGAAACAGAGGAACTGAACTGAGGGAATGGGGGAAACAGACCGCCACTTACCACGGGCAGGTCGGCCGGAAGGACAGCGCGTCGACGGCGCCATTCTGGTAATCCAACCAGCTCAGCTCGCCCGCCATGGGCATCTTCCATTGGATGTTGCGGGGAGGGAGGATCCACATTTCAATGGCGATCCACATCCGCAATCGGTTGATTTGTTAGAAACGAAAGGGGGAGGATGATAGATAGTGCAGCTCCTTGGTGAATACTGTGAGCGACCTTGTGCCGTCCGTAGCATGGCGACGTCGGCGACGAGGGACTCGAGGAGGGCATGGGGGAAAGGTGGGAATTTTAGGGATGAGGGAAGGGAACAGGGAAGCTGCGTGGGGGAGCTGCGCAGCCCGACGTCGCGGGGCGGCAAGGCGTCGTCGGAGTATCTCATAATGAAATCTGAAAAATAAAAGGAAGAGAGCCAGCAATACCTCAGTTGTTAATACGTACTCCACAACATGAGTAGTTTACGATTAAAGTTCCCGTTTTGTAACTAACTACACCATGACTGAATTTGAGCATTTAACTCTGGCTGCTGGTTGAATCAACGGAAGCATTTGCTGAATTGCATATCACTATGTTAGTACTGAATATTTAAGTTACAATCAAGTAGTACTGGTGTGGTGTACACGCAAAGCAAGAACGAAAATCATGAGTCTAATGGCAACGATGGCCACTTTTATTGGAGCTTCAGACAACAAGAATAACAGCTTCGGGACTCAATTCCAGTCGAGCCAGCCGCACTAGTAATTAAGTTGAACCGTTTCCCTAAACAGAGAGAATGTCAGCCCGTTAGGAAGCTTCCTGAGGATATGGAGAAACTACATATATTCACGAAGAAAACCAATAGACCTGATTGTAGACAGCATGAACTGTTTGAATTTCGTAATAATAGAAGTAGCAATACCTCCTGTTATTACTTGATTTCTTCATCCAACAATAAACCTGGGATGGTTGGGATGGAGACTTATTTCATTCCTTATGGCAACTTCTGCAGCCTCGACTTCACAATATGTGGCATCCCGGTTCTGAAGAAGAACTCGTACATCTTTCAGATACGGGAGGTGCTCAATACCTAAGTAGAACCCATAGGCCTTTGCCACTGATACGGACAACCACAGCTCAAGCTGCTCGAGCTTTGGCAGTGCCCCTTCCTCAAACAGAAGGGTCCCGGCACCTTCATCAAAAGGTTCATAAACGAGCTCCTTCAAACATCCGAATCCTTTGCCTGGCAAAACAAGCCTGTCTTTATGGACCGTGTTGGTATAAAGCTTCAGAGAAAGTAATGCAGGCAGCTCTCCAAGTATGCCAAGAACCTCCTCTGTTATTACACTTAAATTAATTTCTAGGTATGCCAGACTGGTGAGTGCTGGAGTAATCCACTTTGGCAGTTTTGATAAACAGTAATGGGTGCTGCCCATCTCAAATCTTTGGAGGCAAGATGGAAGAGGAGACCAGGAATCTAATAACTCGAATGGATATGAATAACCACCATCTATACACACGGACTGGAGTTTGTAGCTGCCAAGCTTGCATAGTGAAGAATGAAACATCTCTGCATGAATCTTGTACTCTTGAGATTCTTCATCTTTCATCGTGAACCATACATGGAGTACCTTCAAATTGATCAGGCTCCCTAGCTCCTTCACTGCACCTACTGAACTCATGGTAATGTCAAAGCCTGTGATCTCCCTTAAGTTTTTCATATTCCCAATCCCGATTGGTATCTTCGCATGATCCATGTCGCTCAGTAAATGACGTAGTTTCATGAGCTGAACAATTCTGGCCGGCCAGTCTCTGATTTTTGTATCCCTTAAATCTGCGTCTCTAGATCACGTAGCATCACAACTACAGATGGCAACTCCCGTATGTCTGTTTCCTTAAAGCTTACGTACTTTAGCTGGAACAGCTTTTCCATACCATCCATATCATACTGCGCCACGCCCCGGCAACCTTCAAAATCTAGTACACGTAAAGTTTCAAACTTGGTAAGGCTGGGCAAGTGTTTGATGCATCCTGATGCTGTTATTATAAGAGATCGGACATGGCTTAGATCTCTCTTTGCCAATTCATATGCAAGCTCCTGGTCAATGTCCTGGATCGATAAACGTCGAATAGAACACTGAGGATTTCCCCAAACAGTTTGACTGCCGTTCACCACAGTGATGAAATTTTCTTCAATGGATTTTGAAATGATAAGTTCAAGCATCATGTCACGAACTCGACAGGCCCGCACCTTCCCATCATAGCGAATATCCACTGGCTGGACCAGGCTTTTATTGATAAGCTCGTAAAAATAACTTTCTGCAACCTCTTGATAGCTCCTCCCACGCTCTTCAGAAATAAAGCCTTCCGCAATCCATTGCCTCACCAACCTTTCTCTGTCAATCACATAATCCTCAGGGAAATTACTCAAGTGCAACAAGACAGTCTTGAGGTTTGGTGGAAGATCATTATAGCTCAAGGACAATTTGTTTTTCATTCCCTCTAGACTAGTTTCCATTCAAGTCAGAACCAATTGATCTTTTCACCTTCTCCCACTCTTATTTGACACGTGGTCTGTTAGCTAGTAAACCAGATATACTGATAATTGCCAATGGTAAGCCTCCACACTTTTTCAAGATAGTATTTGAAACTTCAGTAAGCATATCAGGGCAGCGCTCTTCTGAACCAAAAATTCTGTTAAAAAGTAGGCTTTCGGAGTGGAGATCACTTAGAGGTGTCATTTCATAGATCTGGTCATCACGATCTGGACAACAAGACCTTGCTACTTCCAATATGCGTGTCGTACTTATAATTCTGCTTGAAGAATTATTCTCTGGAAAAGCACATTTGATTGCATTCCATGCTAATATAGACCATATATCATCAACAATTACAAGATACCTAAGAAAGTGGAGTAGGAGCGTAAATCGATTAGGATATAGATATAATTTCACTAGAAAAGAAAAACCAATTGTAAAATTCCAATCGGCCTATAAACCATGCAATGATAAGCACCACTGGTGGTGCAATGGTCTTCATTTTGTGCATATCAAAACTACATCCTTAACTAGAATAATGATATTTGCACATAACGCATATTTCGTACTCCCTCCGTTCCTAAATATTTGTCTTTCTAGAGATTTCAACAAGTGACAACATACGGAGCAAAATGAGTGAATCTACACTTTAAAATATGTTTATAAACATATGTATGTGGTAGTCCATTTGAAATCTCTAAGAGACAAATATTTAGGAAAAGACGGAGTAGTAAATAATTAGCAATACCATATATTACCTTTTATCTTGTAATAGTTCTCTCAGCTTTCCAATGGATTTATGTTCATCCCAGCTCTCCATTTCTTTTGTGAATTCATCCTTGCAAGACATATGTGAGATTAAATCCTTGATGATTTTTTTTTGTATCTGGCTTTTGTGAGACTGACACAAAAGCATGGCAGTCAAAACGCTCTTGAATCTTGCGATATACTTCATTCGCCAGTGTTGTCTTTCCCAATCCACCGAACCCAACAATCGACAACACCTTGCGATGATGATTGCTTTCTTCTTCCAGCATCCACCTGGCAAGCTCGTCTCTTGGACCATCAATGCCAATAAGGTGTGCCTCCTCAGCAAAAAGAGCGGCCAACCGGGGATCCACGGTGGCTTGGCCCGGGGTGCTAGAAGCAACATCATCCAGCTTGTAGCTAGTCTTGAGCTCTTTCACTTGCTTGATGCGAAGCTTCAGGTCATCGATTTGGTTGGCAATTCCACGCCGAGCTCCGAGCGTCTTTAGACGGCGAGCGGTCTTGCGGAAGAACTCCTTAAAGCCCTTGCCGTCCCCTCCTTTGCCGAGACGGTGAATGAACTTGTCGAAAAGATCCTCTGTATCGTAGGCCAACTCCCTCACCAGTGATACCCATTCCTTCACTTGGTCATCAGGGTCTTCCAGCCTTGCATACTTACTTAGCGCTCCATGAATACCTTTAAACTCAGACTGGAGGGAGCGGATCTCTCGGCAGACCCCTTTCAGGCGGCTGCACTCGCCGGCGAGCAAATCAGCCAGCTTCCCCAGCAGAGGGCCCAACGCGCCCAGCGCAGCGGTCACCACAGGCGCCATGGCTCCTGGTTATTCCTTCATTTCTTCATGCAACAATAAAGCTGGGATGGTTGGGATGGAGATTTGCTTCCTTCCTAATGGCAACTTTTGCGGCCTCAACTTCAGTAGATGTGGCATCCCGGTTCTGAAGAAAAACTCGCACATGTTTCAGATATGGGAGGTGCTCAAGACCTAAGTAGAACCCATAGGCCTTTGCCATTGATACAGAGATCCGCAGCTGAAGCATTTCGAGCTTTGGCAGTGAACCTTTCTCAAACAGAAGGGACCCTGCACCTTCACTAGAAGGTTGAGAAATGAACTCCTTCAAACATCGGAATCCTCTGGCTGGCAAAACAAGCCTGTCTTTATGGACAGTGTCGGTATAAAGTGTCAGAGAAAGTAATGCAGGCAGCTCTCCAAGTATGACAAGAACCTCCTCTGTTATTACACTTAAATTAATGTCTAGATATGCAAGACTGATGAGTGCTGGAGTAATCCACTTTGGCAGTTTTGAGAAACAGCAGTCGGTGCTCATCCCAAATCTTTGGAGGCAAGATGGAAGAGGAGACCAGGAATCTAATAACTCGAATGGATATGAATTACCACCATATATACAACGGACTGGAGTTTGTACCTGCCAAGCTTGCATAGTGAGGAATGAAACATCTCTGCACGACTCTTGCATTCTTGAGATTCTACACCTTCCACCTTGAACCATACATGGAGTACCTTCAAATTGATCAGGCTCCCTAGCTCCTTCACTGCACCTACTGAACTCATGGTAATGTTAAAGCCTGTGAACTCCCTTAAGTTTGTCATATTCCCAATCCCGATTGGTATCTTCGCATGATCCATGTCGCTCGGTAGATGACGTAGTTTCGTGAGCTGAACAATTCTGGCAGGACAGTCTCTGATTTCTGTTTCCCTTAAATCCAGCGTCTCTAGATCACGTAGCATCACAACTGCAGATGGCAGCTCCCGTATGTACGTTTCATTAAAGCTTAGGTACTTTAGCTGGAACAGCTTTTCCATACCATCCATATCATACTCCACCAGGCCTCGACAACCTTCAAAATCTAGTACACGTAAAGTTTTAAACTTAGTAAGACTGGGCAAGTGCTTGATGCATCCTGATGATGTTATTATAAGAGATCGGACATGGCTTAGATCTTTTTTTGCCAATTCAGATGCAAGCTCCTGGTCAATGTCCTGGATCGATAAACGTCGAATAGAACACTGAGGATTTCCCCAAACAGTTTGACTGCCGTTCACCACAGTGATGAAATTTTCTTCAATGGATTTTGAAATGATAAGTTCAAGCATCATGTCATGAACTCGACAGGCACCAACCATTCCATCATAACAAATGTTCACTGGTTGGACCAAGCTTTTATTGATAAGCTCGTACAAATAACTTTCTGCAACCTCTTGACAGCTCCTCCCACGCTCTTCAGAAATAAAGTCTTCCGCAATCCATTGCCTCACCAACCTTTCTCTGTCAATCACATAATCCTCGGGGAAATTACTTAAGTGCAACAAGACAGTCTTGAGGTTTGGTGGAAGATCATTATAGCTCAAGGACAGTATGTTTTTCATTCCCTCTAGACTCTGGCTTTTGTTCAAGTCAGAACCAATTGATCATTTTACCTTCTCCCACTCTTCTTTGACACGTGGTCTGTTCGCTAGTAAACCAGAAATACTGATAATCGCCAATGGTAGGCCTCCACACTTTGTCAAGATAGCTTTTGAAACTTCAAGAAATATGTGAGGGCAGGAATTCTCTGAGCCAAAGATTCTTTTGAAAAATAGTCCTTGAGAGTGAGGATCACTTAGAGGTTTCATTTCATAGATCTGGTCATCAGGACCTGGACAACAAGAGCTAGCTACTTCCAGTATGCGTGTAGTAGCCACAATTCTGCTAGAACAGTTGTTCTCTGGAAATGCACAATTGATAGCATTCCAAGCCACTATAGACCATATATCATCAATGATAACAAGATACCTGATAGATGTCAATAGATAGCATCAATCAATAATTATATTACATATTCTTCGCATACTCAAAACTATAGTAAAGTAAAGGTATTTCAATGAGATCATAATCCTTTACATCAATATTTTCTTGAATGTTCGTGTCGACAGATTATTAGTGTAGACAAGCAAACTAATGTTGCAAACTCTTACTACTGAACAGTGAAGGTGTAAGGTACGACTTCAACCACCAGGGATCTGGTGTTTGGATTTACTTACACACAAGAGCGCCCCAGTGTGGAAGCTTTAATTTGTTGAGATAGCATCGATCTCATGCCTCTGTTAACTCTAAGCGCAGGAACATATACTTACGTGTGTGCCTCTAAATTGTAACTGAATATCTTTCTCAACCTTGAACAATGATTTTAGTAATTTTCTTCTGCCAAGCATATTCGCGAATTTCTGGTCTCAAAGTTGTACCATTATATTTCACAACTACATAGTATTTTATTCTACTTTGTGTGAACACTTTCTAGTATTACTGACATACTGTCTATGGTTCAGTGCAGTTCATTACGTGAAAAAAAATAGAAGTAGATGCAGAAACAAGAAGTTAAAATAATGACTGCTTACAACGAGACATATTGATGGAAAGAAAAATGTGAGAAATTACCTTTTTTCTTGTAGAAGTTCCCTTAGCTTTGAAATGGATGTCTTTTCGTCCCAAATCTCAATATCTTTCTTGAATGCATCGCTGTCAGACACTTGGGAGATCACATCCTTGATGATTTTCTTTGTATCTGGTTTTTGCGAGATCGACACAAAAGCATGACAATCATAACGCCCTTGAATCTTGCGATAGATTTCATTCGCCAGTGTTGTCTTTCCCAATCCACCAAACCCAACAATAGACAACACCCTGCGAGGATTCTTGTTCTCTTCATCCAGCATCCAGTTGGCAAGATTGTCTCTTGGACCATCAACACCCACAAGGTGTGCCTGCTCAGCAAAAAGAGCGGCCAACCGGGGATCCACGGTCGCATGGCCCGTGGTGGTACAATCAGTATCATCTAACCTGTAACTAGTCTTGAGCTCTTTCACTTGCTTTATACGAAGATTCAGATCATCGATTTGGTTGGCAATTCCACGTCGAGCTCCAAGAGTTTTTAGACGGCGAGCCGTCTTGCGGATGAACTCCTTGAAGCCAGCTTCTTGGGGCCCACCATCACCAAGGTGATGAATGAACTTGTCGAAGCAATCCTCAGTATCATAGGCCAACTCCCTGACTAGAGATATCCATTCCTTCACCTGCTCATCAGGATTCACTAGATTTGTGTACTTTCTGAGAGCACCATGCATGCCGGTAAGCTCGGATCGGAGGGAGCGGATCTCACGGCGGACACCTTTCAGCCGGCCGCACTCATTGGCGAGCGGATCCGTGAGCTTTGCCAGCAGGGGACCCAATGCGCCTAGTGCAGCGGTCACCACCGGCGCCATCGGCCCCCTCCCTCTGCTCCTAGCGTGTCTGGTTCACCACACTCAAATCTTTGCAGAAGCTTGGGCCGCCACTAATCAAGTAGCTGCAGCACAGATGTAGCAAAACATGAGCAGATCGAATCAAGCAACACATAAGCAGAACCGGATCGACCAAAAGCATGAGAAGGAATGAAGCAAAACATGAGCAGCACAGCACTCACAGCCGATGAAGAACAACACTCAGGTAGAATTACTGTTGTGAAATCAGTGCTCCGGTGAAGCGCGCGGTCACCACAGGTGCCATCGACCCACTCCGAGTGTAGAGAACTGAGACAACCGCAGGAACAAAGGGGATGGGAAGGTCGAGCCTGTACACAAGATGCAAGCTGCTTTCACTGGCTCACCTAACGTAACGATGGCTTAACAACCTTACTTTGCCAGTGGCTAGCATTTCTACGAAGCAACCAGGAAAGTGCGTTAGCGAATTAAGAACACTCAAAAGCATGCGCCCATGCTGCCCACTTGTACATTTAATTAGAATTGTTCATTTGTTCTTACGCTGCTCAGTGCAAAAGTGGTCATCGCATCGTAAATTCGTAATACAATATTGCAACCGAGGTTCCCACAGCCGCTTGCCCACTTGTACATTTGATTAGAATTGTTCCTACCATGATTAGTACGAACAATGCCAATCTCATCGTAATACAGTATAATATATTGCAACTGATGTTCCCCGTAATTAATGGAATACTAGCTCCAAATTAAAACATTGCGTGCCGGCCTATATACCTGATCGATGAAGCCCGCGAGCTCCCCACAGCCTCCGTGCGGGAAGAATTAATGTTGTGAAATCAGTGCTCTAGTGCAGCGCTCACCACAGTCCACAGGCACCATCGATTCCTCTTCACTTCATCTCTGCTTAGTGCGAACTGTTTCATTTTAAATACCCCATTTATGGAGAAGGAGGTGTTTGATGCTATTTCCCATATGAAAAATAATAAAGCTCCAGGGCCAGATGGTTTTCCCGCGGAGTTTTATAAAAAATGCTGGCACATTATTAAGGGGGATTTGTTACCGATGTTCCATGATTTATTCTCTGGACAGCTTCAGATATTTCATCTGAATTTTGGAACAATAACCCTGCTTTCTAAGAAAACGGAGGCTGTGAGATTGAGCAGTTCAGGCCGATCTGCCTCCTCAATGTTAGTTTCAAAATTTTCACAAAGGTTGGGACTAATAGGCTCATGCAGATTGCGTATTCTATGGTGCAGCATTTCCAAACTGCTTTCATGCCGGACAGAAACATCCTAGAAGGGGTTGTGGTCCTTCATGAAACGCTTCACGAAATTCACTCGAAAAAACTAGATAGAGTCGTTTTAAAGGTGGATTTCGAGAAAGCGTACGATAAAGTCAAATGGCCTTTTCTTCAACAGGCCTTGTGTATGAAAGGTTTTGATGAAGCCTGGCGACGTCAGGTCAAGTCGTTTACGCCAAAAGGGAGTGTTTGAATTAAAGTAAATGATGACATAGGTCATTATTTTCAGACACACAAGGGCCTGAGACAAGGAGATCCGATGTCCCCTATTCTGTTCAACATTATAGCTGATATGTTGACAATTCTGATAGGAAGGGCTAAGGAGGCTGGACATGTGGGTGGACTGGTACCTCATCTTGTTGATGATGGTGTGTCTATCCTACAGTACGCCGATGATACGATCATCTTTATGGAGCATGACTTGGCAAAAATGAGAAATATGAAGCTGGTGTTATGCTTATTTGAACAATTGACCGGGTTAAAGATTAATTTTCATAAAAACGAATTGTTCTGTTTTGGTAGAGCCAATGACGAACAAGAGGCTTATAGGCAATTATTTGGGTGTGATTTGGGGACTTTACCTTTTATGTACCTAGGAATACCAATCCACCATCGTAAATTGAGAAATAGAGAATGGAAGTGTATCGAGGACCGCTTTGAAAAGAAGCTGAGTTGCTGGAAGGGCAAGCTCATGTCATACAAAGGCCGTTTAATTCTGATAAATTCGGTCCTCACGAGTATGCCTATGTTTCTCTTGTCGTTCTTCGAAGTCCCAGTTGGAGTAAGGAAAAGTCTGGACTTTTATCGATCTCGTTTCTTTTGGCAGAGCGATGAACTCAAAAGAAAATACAGACTCGCCAAGTGGGATATTATCTGTAGACCGAAAGACCAAGGGGGTCTTGGCATTGAGAATCTTGAGATCAAGAACAGATGCCTTCTTAGCAAGTGGCTATCGAAGTTATTGCTACGTCTTGAGCTTGCGTTGTTTTTCCTCGAAGAGGAGAGGGTGATGCAGCAAGTGTAGCGTAAGTATTTCCCTCAGTTTTTGAGAAGCAAGGTATCAATACAGTAGGAGGCTCCTCAAAAGTCCCACGCACCTACACAAATAAACTGAGAACTCGCAACCAACGCAATAAAGGGGTTGTCAATCCCTTCACGACCACTTGCGAAAGTGAGATCTGATTGAGATAGTAATAAGATAAATATATTTTTGGTATTTTATAATATAGATGCAAAAAAGTAAAGATGCAAATAAAAGTAGATTGGAAGCAAATATGAGAAGAGATAGACCCGGGGCCATAGGTTTCACTAGAGGCTTCTCTCGAGATAGCATAAGTATTACGGTGGGTGAACAAATTACTGTCAAGCAATTGATAGAAAAGCGAATAATTATGAGATTATCTAGGCATGATCATGTATATAGGCATCACATCCATAACAAGTAGACCGACTCCTGCCTGCATCTACTACTATTACTCCACACATCGACCGACTCCTGCCTGCATCTAGAGTATTAAGTTCACAAAGAACAGAGTAACGTATTAAGCAAGATGACATGATGTAGAGGGATAAACTCATGCAATATGATATAAACCCCATCTTGTTATCGTCGATGGCAACAATGCAATATGTGTCTTGCAACCCTTTCTGTCACTGGGTAAGAACACCGCAAGATTGAACCCAAAGCTAAACACTTTTCCCATGGCAAGAAAGATCAATCAAGTAGGCCAAACCATACCGATAATTCGAAGAGACCTTCAAAGATAACTCAATCATACATAAAAGAATTCAGAGAAGATTCAAATATTATTCATAGATAAACTTGATCATAAACCCACAATTCATCGGATCTCGACAAACACACCGCAAAAAGAGATTACATCAAATAGATCTCCATAAAAGAGGGGGAGAACATTGTATTGAGATCCAAAAAGAGAGAAGAAGCCATCTAGCTAATAACTATGGACCCGTAGGTCTGTGGTAAACTACTCACAACTCATCGGAAGGACAAGGATGTTGATGTAGAGGCCCTCCGTGGTTGATTCCCCCTCCGGCAGAGTGCCGACGAGGGCTTCAAGATGGGATCTCGCGGATACAGAAGATTACGGCGGTGGAAATTGTGTTTCATGGTGCTCCTAGATGTTTTTGGGTACGTAGGTATATATAGGAGGAAGAAGTATGTCGGTGGCCGCCCGAGGGGCCCACGAGACAGGGGGTGCGCTCTACAGGGGGGCGCGCCCTCCTATCTCGTGGCCGCCTCGGCTGCTTCTTGGCTTGCACGCCAAGTCCTCCGGATCATGTTCGTTCCAAAAATCACGCACCCGAAGGTTTCATTCCGTTTGGACTCCGTTTGATATTACTTTTCTTTGAAATACTGAAATAGGCAAAAAACAGCAATCCGGGCTGGGCCTCCGGTTAGTAGGTTAGTCCCAAAAATGATATAAATGTGTTAAATAAAGCCCATAAGCATCCAAAAGGGGTAACATAATAGCATGGAACAATCAAAAATTATAGATACGTTGTAGACGTATCAGTTATCCGTCGAGACTGATGCAACTTGGGCGCAGATTCTCCGTAGCAAGTATCTTCACTCAAAAACTTTGTCCCAGGTGACCGCGAGGCCGACTGACTCACCTTTTTGGCAAGGTCTTATGAGAGTCAAAGTAACCTTTTTTAACAGGACAAAGTTTATTATCGGTAACGATGCTAGCACATGATTCTGGGAGGATACTTGGCTAGGAGAGACCCCCCTTGCGATTCAATATCCGTCTCTATATGGTATTGTTCAACGACGTGATGCTTTCGTTGCAACAGCACTTCAATCCATTCCCCTTAATATTCAGTTCAGGAGAACGCTAGCCGGCAATCGTTGGGAACAGTGGTTTCATCTAGTGAGTAGACTGATGGAGGTTCAGCTGTCTCAACAACCCGATAAATTATGCTGGAAGCTTACTAGGTCTGGAGAGTTTACAATTAAATCAATGTATATTGATGTTATCAATTCAAGCTCTATTCCTAGATCCAAACATGTTTGGAATGTCAAAGTGCCTTTGAAAAATAAAGTGTTTATGTGGTTTGTCCATAAACAAGTAATATTAACCAAAGACAACTTGGCAAAGCGTATTTGGACAGGACCTACTAGGTGTAGTTTCTGTGTTCGGAATGAAACTGTCAAACACCTTTTTCTTGATTGCCCGTTGGCCAAAGTTTTATGGCATACGGTTCAGATTGCAATTAATATTACTCCTCCGAGTTCTGTCAGCACGTTATTTGGAACGTGGCTTAACGGGTTAGAGTCCGAAATTGCGAGACACATTCGCGTAGGAGTATGTGCTTTATTGTGGGCAGTCTGGAACTGCTGAAATGATTTGGTTTTTAACAGAACAGGAAATATTCATTTTTTGCAGGTTATCTTCTGAGCCACTGCGTTGATCCGTATGTGGTCGATACTCACTCCGACGGAGGCCAATGAGCATTTGATTACTGGATCTATCCGCTGGGAGATGGTAGCACGGGATATATTCAATCGATTTGGATGGCGGTCATGTAATAGGATAGGCAATTAGTTTACCTATCTTTCTTATGCCAGCCGGTTGTGGCTGTTCTGTGGCTAGTTTGTTTTTAGCTATTTGGCTCTTTGTGAGCCTTCCTCTTTTC